TGTAATTTCCAGAAATGCTTGAGATAGATCCATCTTTTATTATTAACGATTAATTACATGGGCAAGACGTAACGCGACCTAGAAGATCTATTGTATACGTCCATGCTCCTAGTCGTTCAGTTTTAGGATGTTCATGAATCCAGCCACCTTGTATGGATCGGAGCACCACACATTGTTCGACGTAATAAAATGTTCGTCAAACATTTGATGTCTTATTTTGCATCATCACGAAAACGAGTGAATAAGACGCAATGGTGTAAGGTACCTACTGGTCCCACTTGTTTGACTATATTTACCTACTCTTCCACAATCGTGTATATAAGGCTATGGGAAATTTTTTAAAGTTTAAAAAAGAGTAGCAGGATGACCTTCAGTTTAACAAATTTCAAAAATTGTGATCTATACGTTACTCATAGAAAATTCAGTTGGACGGTCACGCTTAATACTTCATTTTCTGATTTTATTAATCGGTATATAAAAAGATGGATCTACCTCAAGTCCGTATGGGCCTCCATACATCCGCACAAAGTCAATATAACCTTGTATCTTAAGTGGTGTACCCTAAGATGGTTTTTATCTTTAAATTAAACTAAACTAATTTAGAAGCTCGTTACATCGAATGCAAATATTTTATTGCAATCTTTAATCGATTCACTTCTTTTTTTGACATTCCCAAATAAAAGAGAATAACATCATAAAATTTTCACTTTGGCAAGTAAGAGAGCTTTGCCGCCTACTTTATAATAGCAATCTCTTCTGGAGAGAATCTTTATTCTGATAATATAAAATATCCCAAAGGACCCTAATCCGTCATATAGATTTTGTTTGCACTGTTATCAAACTTGAAAAAATGTAAAAAGGCAAAGTTAAACGTAATAGCTTTATAGGTATTTCCTTTGTTGAAAAAAAACCAGTATGGCAACCTTGAGCTTTCTTCTCTAATCAAAAAAAAAAAGAAAAGAAAACTGTAACAACATTTCATCGTCTTCTTGAAACCGGAAATGAAAGACATCAAGGTCTTGTTATTTTTTCGACATTAAAACCTGCAGCTTTTTTTCTCCTTTTAATGTGAGCCATCATTCAGGGGACGTTCCCTACGCGTGTAATAGGCCACCGTAAGAAGAGGGTGAGGAAAGAGAAAGAGACAGGGAGGCAGTGGCAGCAGCTTTGTGGAAGTGCGCGCAATCGACCAAATACTCGCTATAGCTACGAACTTTACCTTTCGTGAGATTTGAACTCGCGAACACTGAGTAGCTAGTCGCGATTCTTACCTTCTCAGCTAGTCATGCGGCGCTGTAGCGATCAACTCTGGACTCTTACGGCCCAGCTGCATCGAGCGATGGTCATCGAAACGGTATGCATGCCAGGCAGAACCGTAAGACTTTCGATTCGCAGCTTGATCAAATAGGGCAAGTTTGCATATCAAATGGGTTTTGGTGAGGGGTTTCTCGTCATGGAAACGCCATATTTCCTTTCGCCGTTTTTGAAGGCTTTCTTAGTTATCTTTTTTGCAATTTTTTCCCTGTAGCGTTAATAATAAGTTTACTTGCAGTATACTAGACTCGGCTAACAAATTATTCGAAATCTTTCTCAAATTTTCCATTCAGGTAATTAATAGATCATAACATTGCTCCTACCATCAGCAAATCGTCAGCAAATTTTCGCGAGTAACGAATAGTAAGGAAACTTAGTTTTCCTCTATTAACTTTTATTATTATTTATTATGAGTTATTAGAGGAGTTGAAAATTCCAATCTTCACTAACCGTGGATATGTTTTATGCCCCAAGATAATGCATCTTCACGCATTGCATTGACTTTGCGAGAGCTTTTTTATAGCAGAGATTTATTCGGGGCACATAAGGGAATATAGAGGAAACACAACCAACGACAATATTACTAAGAAGTTTGATTCATTTAGATGTTAGGAGCAAACAACGACGAAAACTCTTCCAATAGACCTAACGGTTGAAACATTCTACTTACAATTAAGGAGAAATATTTTAAGGTCGGGTTCGGGTACCAGTTTCCGCTTTTCCTTGATTTTACAAAAGCCCAGAACTTTTTCTCGCTTGAAAGTTTAGGATGGAAAGTTTCTTAAGGTTGCCGAACGGTTGAGACAGTTTGCTTATAACACGGAAGACATCTTTTAAGGTCACGTTTACCCATTTCTTTAATTTCATAAAAAACCCCAACAATGTTTTTTTTTAAGATAACTTTAAAAATAGGTTTAATTACATGTAGCGATCTCTCTCATTTTCGGAAATCAGTTTTAATGATTCGTTTCGAACGCTAGCGCTAATCACAAACGTTAATTATGGCATAAATCAGAGGTATTTAGCTACAAATTTCATTATACTCTTGCATTCTCTTTTTATTAATAAAACAAACTGAAGATCAAGACACATTAAATCCTCTTTAGGTGGGGAAATTCATTTTGAAAATACTTCCGGACAAGTTTTGTTTCAAAAATTGCTCGTGAAAACCAAACTAAAAATTCAAGTTTAATTTCTGCAAAAGCGAAATATTTCGCACATATTCAACGAAACATAAACTAATTATTATATATACACGAATACATATACATGTGCTACAAAATGTATATATATGGCTTTCGTCTCACGCGTTGTCCCCGCATAGAAAATTTAGAGTAAAAGGTAAAACAAAAAAATAAATTAAATAAAAAATTTTGGTATAACTATGGTCGAATATTTTACACCTATCAACGCGCATACCTTAGACAAAATTAAAATAAATAAAAAAAATAAAATTAAAGTTTGATGCTTTATAATATTGGACATATGTGATCTATTTTTCCCGTTTTTGTATAGTAGTTCTGAGCACACTCATAGAACAAACATAAGGAGGAAATTCTTATCATCATATCTGTTGTGGGTTATAAGTAAAATGAGTAAAAAACTTGAACGTTTTTGAAAACACACTTGTTTTCAGTTTATCCTGCACTATAGACATTATCTCCGAACGATTTTCGACCCCAGGCGCTAAGAATTTTGCAAGGTTTTCTGGCGGAGAATGTTTATTGCACTTATTCACGCGGACAGATATGCATTCGTACATATATTGACAAATTAAGAATATGTATAGACCTTGTTGGTCTCTGAAGCTTCCTTCTCGTTGTTGTAAACGTTTGGAGAAAATAAATATATGTACTGTGAACCTTCGCTGGCTGTTATTAAAACAAGCATTTGTGTGAATGTGCTCATCTGTGTGCCGTGTCTTTGCGGTTAAGTGATTTTTATTACAACATCCTCTTAAAGTATGGTGAACTTAATACAAAAGTGAAAACGATGATAACATCGTCAAACAATGAAAGAAAGCTTTTTGTTTTCATTCAGCACCTATCATCATGATTTATAAGGAACACAGCGATGCGTCATCCAGATTCAATTCAATTGTATTGAGCTTTAAATTGGAACTATTACTATACTATATATATATATATATATATATATATGAATGTACATTCTATATATGTGTTGAAAGCAGATCTTTGCTGCCTACCTACGAAGAAAGTTTTACAAATAAACTCATTAGCTGGTTAACAAAGAAACCAAAAAACCAAGACTTTTGTTGCATATTGAATACAAACACAGAGTGAAAAAAAGAGTGACATATAATACTCCCCCATAAGTTTGTTGATCTAAGCGAATTGCGATTTTCTTCAAACGAATACAAAAAGAAAAAAAAAAAAAAAACATCTTTCACTATTTACCACTTCATGTGCTTGATTGATTATCTCATGTTTCAGCATCTGCTAGAATACTTGGCCTTTCTCTCTTGCTAATGGGCATACGTGGTAGAAATTTCATAGATTTCTTGAAAATCCTAATAATAATATAATATATCCTAATATCCTAATAATAATAGTCGTGCTTTAGCGTAGCGTAGTAATTACTATGACGCTAATCGACTCAGAAAAGCAAAGTTTTTAAGCAAATCCCTTCTCTCAACAAGCAACTCATTACATTTAGATAAGATTTTCCATCAAAGAGGACGCTCTCTAAACTTTATCTTTATATTCAGTAACTACATGTTCGATAAATTGACTATAGCAGCCACAAAGTTAACAAGTGAAGGCGTTTTTTTAGTAGATTTTGGAAATGGATTTTGAAAGAACGAATGCACAGTTGCTTTTGGAACCAATCTTCCAGGTCATGCTCAATAACTATATACATATATATTGATAGCTTCTTCATGTATAGAGTGTATAGATCAGAAACGTTCCTAGCCGCGAACAAATCGGCCCATGAAGCCATGAAGCAGCCTTTCAGAGAATTTTGCAATGACACTAACGCTGCATGAACTTTTTCCATTTTCTATAAACGTGATTTCCAATGAGTTGAACAGAGCGATCGCGAAATTTTCCAACTTACGAGCTTTCGTAATTGTAAATAAACCTGATCGCCAGCATAATTTCTAAACGTAGTTTTCCGCGACACGTTGTGCTTGTAGGACTAGGACTTGCTAAACTTTATACTCCATAACGTGTTTCTTTAAGCGGCTGTTTACAAAGTTGGATCATCTTGTCGACTGGCGGCATGCAAGCTGTCAAATTTTTTCTTAGATAGCCAGTCGTCATCATGTCTTATGGATCAACAAACTCTCTTCCTTCTTAGCTCTTTGGAAATATCAACAGGCATCGACTCTGAATAAAGTGTTGTCATGAAATGACTGCGAACCGGCGTTAGTGCATATTCTTTCTCTCTCTCTCTCTCTCTCTCTCTCAACCTGTCTACAGCCTGGATCTATAATATTGTCTGACATTTGAGTCGTTCGCTTTTACTTTATTCATTTGGTGTAGTTGTCTGACTAATCTTTATAGGTAAACGTACTGGGGCTGCGTTAAATCGGGCTATCATAAGCAAAGTATTCAGGTTATTTTGCTATCCCTTTTTCATCATCATCATCATCATCATCATCATCATCATCATCATGTATCTATATATATATATATATATTTAAAAAACTTTTCCGATTGCAGATATCAAGGAAGTCATTGGATACTTTTAAAAGTTGTACGCAACTGATGTTATTATCAAGTTTATTTTTATGCTTAGGCATCAGTTTAATGAAATGTAGCATATTTACAAGCAACGTTATTGAAAGCACGCGTGCTACATGCAATTTTGTAAAGCGGCACAACATCCAACTATTTAAACAGGTATTCAACGCAGCAATTACATTTAAGCCAGCGCGACAGAGATCGCAACGCAACAGAAACCAAATAGAGACTAATAACCGCATCAATATAAAATCGTAAAAGAAATAGAAAGAGCAAACAAGAGAAAGAAATAAAAAATCCGATCCTCAAGCATATACTATTATTGATTAAATACATCCCGTAAAGACGGGTATGTAGTATTTATTATAAGTTCCTCAAATTGTTGCATTTAATAGTAAATGAACATTAACAATAAAGAAAGATTAGCAATTGCACGAGATATCTGCAACTGGTACTGCGTAGCCGTCATAGCAGCGAATCAATGTGGAAAGAAAAGTCGCGGAGAAAAACAAAGTTAACAACAAAGACCGGCAAAATTTCAATGTTTCCGATAAACCTTTAAAGCAACTAACGGTGTTTCCGAAAATTTAACCGAATACCGTATCAAACAGAATTTCTTTTAAGCTTTATGTAAAATGCCAGGTACCATACAATGCGGTCTATGGTTCCTGATAGCAATATTCAGTTTACTCTCGACTCAAGCTCACGACAAAGCTGCGCTAAAGACGTTAGTAAGCCCGCTACAGCGTACTGGAACACCGATTACGTTACTTGAGCAATCTTTAACTCAAAAATTAGTAATGACTAAAGATCACCCGAAACGGAGAACAAATGCGGACTTAATGCCGCACCTTTACACTAACACGGCACATAATTTATATGCTCCCCATCAAAGTTTCTCAAAAAAAGACGCTATTAATTTCTCTAATGTGCATCATCGAGCCGATGGATCAGCGTTTCAAACATTTGGCTCGTTTCGAGAAAGCCGAAATTCCAAGCAAACGATTAAACCAATTCAAGCTCATCGACGATCTGATTCTGCTAACGTGGAAATTATAGCGGCACCCGCGGTTGAACTTCCTATTAATCCCCTTATCACTATACCAAAACGTATAGTTCCGTCAACATTTGAAAATACAACCAAACTTGTCTCTCATCGTAACTATCAATATATTCCCCTTCAGAAAGATTTTTTAAGTCATTTACTGGTAGAACTTAGGCCTAAAAATAATTGCACACCCGATAATCGCGATACAACTGACGAAAGAAACACCTTAAGCGAGAGTACCTTCGGTGGTGTCGGACAGCATTCCTCATTTCAGCAATCCTCAACTGAGCGTTACGATCGAAGCGAAGAAACGAGCAGTAGTCGACGAAGTGGTTTTCAATTTACCAGTCACACGCTTAGCCCGCAGAATAATTTTCAACCGCAAGCTTATCGCGAAGATAATCCGGTCTTTAGTGATACGCCCGGATTTGAGCATGCCTACGATGAGGAGATGCTAGGAACTCATGCAGAAAAAGAAAAACTTTCAGCACGCCAATCAATATTCGAATCTGAAGCGAATCCGGCTTCGTATTCCTATGAGTTTTCACCGTTGCCCAGCTCGTTACACAGCCTCAGTCCTGTTATCGCTTTGGGGAAACAATATCGCGAGGATGTAACTAAATTTGGAGATATTAATGGACCAATAACTACATTATCTCAAAGACCGCAAAGAGGAGTTTACTTTCCGGATACGGATTTGCGGCCGGCAAATAATTATTCACCGCATAAAATGTTTAATGAGTATATGGGATCTCATGATTCTCCGGGCTCGAGAAAAAGTCGTTATTATCCATATAAATCATCGAGAAATCCTCGAGTAATATTCCCTACTAACGATAATATTGGCACCACTGGTCCCAGCGGTCCAGCATCTGGTTTGTACTTTAACGATAATGTCGTATTCAGAGATCAAAATTTTGGACTTAACGAATTGGCAGCGATTCAGGATGTCCGCAACGAGTTCACTTTACAGGATTTGGACAGTACTTCAGAGAGCAGTTCCCCATTGGCAGTCCAATCGGTTAACACGTTCAAGGAGAAGGGTATGTCTAAAAAATTTTTTCCAATGCGTTACTATAACGTATTATTTCAATCACTAACAAATAAATGTAATCCGTTAATGGCCTGATGACTTCACAACACACTTGTATAAGTCTCTTGTATGTATGTATGTATGTATGTATGTATTCGAAATCTTTTTACTCCGATCTCCTTCGTTATAGACCGATTAGTTAAACTTGTATAGTTACACCTGGATTCAACCCAAAAAAAAAAAAAAAAAAAAAAAAAAAAAAAAAGAAAAGTCATTTTTAATAGACATATGTATATATATTTATTATTATTTTTTAAAATAAATTGCGCACGGCTTGCATCTGGTATTTGCTTTTTTACTTTTCTCAAAACTAGCTGACATAACAAGTGAACTGGTATGCCAGCATCGGGGCGGCACTTGTGAATTTTTCATAAGTTGCTGGATGACTAATGGTCTTCTAAAGGGCACTTGCAGCGGCCTGCTACGTGGTTGCTGTCATCGTACAGCGAAATCAGCGAATTTACGCACTTCGGACTTTGTTGGCAACACAATCGATTTGACTGATCTTCCGCAAAAGAACTTTGGACCCGTGAAAAATGATCCCAGTGAGTTATCGTAATTACCGATTTTGAAAATCAAAGAAAATAAAAATAAAAGTAAAAAAAAAACAAAAAAAACAAAACAAAATAAAATAAAACAAAACTAAATAAATAAATAAATAAAACAAAATATATACACGAGTTTGCAAGTGCACGAATATTTAAAGGATGCCTTTAACTATGGCTTAAAACTGCAATAATAGTGCAAAAGATGTCAACCCTCCCCCATTGAGAATTTATAAATATAAATTCCGTATATGAAATCCCGAAAAGAAATCGAAAATCCTGCATGTTTTCTATTCAATAATATTATTATGATGAATTTGTAATCAACAATTTTGAAAGCTTTATGTAGTTTGTGTGTGCATGCCATCAAAAATTATACTCGCATATCGTATTTTGCATTTATTAAGCATAAGTTTTTCTGTATGATTTTAATTTTTTTTTTTTTTTTTTTTTTTTACTGGCACGACTAATGTCTTCTTATTTGTATGCATTTTGTAAACTTATGTGTGTGCATGACCTTAACGAAAATATTCCCAATTGAAGTTCCGGCGGAAGATCAGACTTCGAATGATCACATTGAACACCAATATCCAATATATTCACTTGCATTTATTTATATATATGTGTGTGCGTCTAGTGTAGAATTGTGTTACTAATAAATTTTACGATAAAGAGTAAGTGAGGAGTTTTTGTTTGTTAAAGTTACTGCTGCTTTCTTGTAGGTTGTGGCATATCACTGGCCAAGCAAACCGCTCAGAGGCGCATAGTAGGTGGAGATGATGCTGGATTTGGATCATTTCCTTGGCAAGCCTATATACGCATCGGTTCATCCAGGTGAGTAAAGTTGACGGCCTAACAAGCCTAATAAGTCGTAGCTTATAGAATCTATTCAGGTGCGGCGGTTCTCTTATATCTCGACGCCATGTTGTTACCGCTGGCCATTGTGTGGCTCGAGCCACACCACGTCAAGTTCACGTGACTTTGGGCGATTATGTTATCAATTCGGCAGTCGAGCCCTTGCCAGCTTACACTTTCGGCGTTCGACGTATCGATGTGCATCCGTATTTTAAATTTACTCCGCAAGCTGATCGCTTCGATGTTTCTGTTCTGACTCTTGAACGTATTGTTCATTTTATGCCTCACATTGGTAAGATTGATATGAAGATTTGAGCTAATACTTAATTTTGCAAAAATTTCATATCTCAGCTCCTATATGTTTGCCTGAAAAAAATGAAGATTTCTTGGGGAAATTTGGTTGGGCAGCTGGCTGGGGTGCCTTAAATCCTGGCTCTCGTCTACGACCGAAAACTTTGCAGACTGTTGACGTTCCCGTTATTGAAAATCGGTGAGTTGATCATTTTGCGATACAGTTAAGCACTTGTTGACTCGGTTCGGTATTTTCTTCGCAAAGAGTATGCGAGAGATGGCATCGACAAAATGGCATCAATGTCGTCATATATCCTGAGATGATGTGCGCTGGTTATCGTAATGGGGGAAAAGATTCATGTCAAGGCGATTCTGGCGGTCCTCTTATGCATGAGAAAAACGGTCGCTGGTATCTAATAGGTAGTTGATGAATCTCTTTGCTCTTCACTTCTACGGGCAACTCAGATCGAATTTAATTGAATGTTATTGCTTAGGTATTGTTTCGGCCGGTTATTCCTGTGCATCACGGGGCCAACCTGGTATCTATCATCGCGTTCCTTTTACGGTCGATTGGATCTCCTATGTTGTCAGTTTAACCGGAAATCTTTAACGTACAACAGCACACAACCACAGTCCCAACTCTACTTTCCAGCATTCTCTTGTAAATATATAAAGCATTTTCGTGAACATTACTTTTGCTTTTACAAAAAAACAAAAGTCGATGTGTTACTCTCATCTTAGTGTGAAATCATTATATATTAAGCCTTTTATTTATTAAAGACAATTTCAAAACGTGTTATATTAATATATATTATATGTTGTATGCGATAATAGTGTGTAGTTTTTTTTTTTCTATTTTTTTTTTTTGTTTTTTCTTTTAATATAAAACCAAACATAATTTATTGTAAATTTTAGTTAACATATGAATGTAAATAAAAAAAAAAAAAAAAAAATGAAAATTTTGATCTAAATATGTTGTTTATTAATTGTTATAACCAAAGACCTGTATAAGGATAAAGCAATTCGTCTTTTAGTTTAAGAAGAAGAAAGTAAAGAATTCTACAATTCAGGGAAATATTCTACATCACAAATACAGGCACGAATATATGCTCAATAAATTGCTGAAGGTGCCTTTGATGTTCACAACCTTTAGGGAACAATGCACGTATGTCCAAGTGAGTGTTTTTTTATCGATTTTGTTGAAGTGATCAAAAACTTCCGAGAATTATTCGATTCAACAGTTCTGATCAAGACAATCGAACGACTGTTCTCTCAAGTTACAGCAGTTTTGCAGTTGCAGCACAATTTGATTGGCTATCGTTAAAGTTTTTAAATATGAACAACACGTCCCTGCATCCTAATCGAAGAATTTTGAGAAGTGTTTGATTAATCGCCTTTGGAGTAATTCTGTGTTTCGATTTAGTGTACACATGTAACACGGTGATGGTCAGAAAGATAGACAAAAACCGAAAGAGGTAGAGAGTAACCGCAGATCAGTGAGTGCGTCTTCTCTCGCTAAGTACGATGTCTTTGCCAATTGAGCACTGTGACAAAGCCTGGCCTACCACAGTGAGAATTGAACCCGCGAACACCAACTTGGTAATGTCGATGAATCTTAACTACTTAGCTTAGTCGAATACATCTTTTGTGGAAGTAGTCAACATTTCAAAGTGAAAATTTCAATAGCGTTTGCTTGCACTGATCAAAAACTTCCAAGAATTCAACCGGGAGCAAGGCTGCTGATACGGTTTTATTTTTTTTCTGATGAGTAGGACAAACAGCAGCGGTATTCGTTATTCGACCAACACAATTTTTTTCAAAAAAAATTTTTGATGTTAATATTCAGATAGTTTTGCGAGGAGCCTTTGGAGAATGATTTAGATGATAATCATAGAATTGTCAGAGATTTATGGCACTCTCAATACCATTTGGTGTCAAATGATAACTCAAGAACTGACAAAGTCAGGCACTTGAGTGTAGCAATCATTCTTATTAACTTTAACATCTGTTGGATGGGTAGCGGATGGATTTTACAAAATGGGTAGACATTTTCACGTCTCTGCAGGACAGAAGAGTCCTAGTTAGTAAGTCAAATAACACTGCTTTCGTTATTCGATCTTGGAATGATTTTCAATATACATAAGCAAAAATTTTCTTGGGAACAGAGGATAAAGCAGAATTTCTTAACAGAGAACACAACAGTCTTAATAAAATAAAATTCATGGCGCAAAGCATCAAACAGCGAGACGCAGCATCGAAAGTTGATATATATGTGCTTTCCTTTTAATGAATATTATTTTGAGGGGAATATTGATTTCTTTGAAACAAGAAAAAAAGCTTAATACCCCTTAAAATATTGATCAGACAACAAGAAATAGTGATATGTTCACATGTGTTCTTGTGACCAAACTCTCATTATTACACTTGATACATGTCCATACGCTTTGGCAAATCTCTCCAATAATTGGTGGCTTTCACCCTATGAATATCTTCAGAGCATCCGGACAACTTAATATCGACAAAGCATTTCTTGAAACGTCTACACCAATCATTTAGTTTGCCTTTAAAAAAAAAGGGCCCATAGTGTTAGTTGCTAGTGTTTAACGTACTTTTAATCCTAGAAATCATTTTTTTTTTTTTTTTTTATAAGAACAATATTCATAGTGATTGAAATTGAAAAAAATCTAGGGCACTCCTGGCCCTAGTCGTGGTATACTACGCTTCTGATGAGGTTCCTTGTGGGAGAAAGAGTTTTATGATCGGAGTTTATTATAATGGCAAACTAGCAATAGAAGATCATCTTTCTACACTTTATGAAAAGTGTTTTGGACGTTGATCTACGGTCTAATTATTGATGGAGAATATGTTGGTGAAGGCGAAATATCTCTACCAAATAGAGTAAAGCCGGTTTAAAGCAAAAAGTTAATTTTCCCGGTAATTTTTGATATTCAAGATTCCTGATTCTCTTAAGCGAACGTCACGATATCAAATACGTAAAATATGCCTGATTGCTTAGCTTGAGGTTTTGATAGAATAACCTCTTCTTCGCTTCTCAGGCATTTCAATAACGCGAATTTGTGTTCAGCAACTAACTTAGACGCTTGCATCTTTCTGGCTGTATATTTGTAAGAAACATCTTTACACTACAAGTTTTAGAAACAAGTTCTTTTGCAAACAATTTATGTTCTATGCAATGAATTCGAAGAGTGAAATGCTCAAATAGACATTCACCAGGAAGAAACCAGTTATTCACAAGTGCACAGTATTAACATTTCTAACTTACACTTCTATTGACAGATATCAGTTTTGTGTTGTTTGCCAACGAGTTCATAACTTTTTCTTAAAAAGTTCATCATCAATGAAAGTATTCATTCTAATCTGAAGTTCATATAATAATACAATATTCAAGTGCATTCATTTTTCAAATCAAAGCGGCCACGACCAGGTGATTGTTAATTTACGATTTCACTGCTTACATTTCCGCGTATCTGTATGCACCCAACTGCAAGTGGGTAAATGTTGGATAAACTAAGCCATTCGGCAAGAAACTAAGCGAAATTGTGAAGTAGGAGGGAGGTCGGAGGGTGTCTATTAATTTTATCATTTTTCATCATCACACACATTCGCTCATTGCGCGAGTTTGTTTTAAGTGCAAGTGAATGAAGTGAAGCATAATGATGGCAACGTTAAGCTCAGTTGTAATCAGTCTCAAATACATATCATTAAATCATCAGGGAATCTTACCGTGAAAACAAAGTGTGTATACGTCTTTGAAGACAAAAGCGGTTTAGTTTATCCCCCAAAAGAAATCAACCTGTCTGTTGTAAGACACTTTTTCGCTATTTGCAATAATTTCAGTTTAAATTTACATATCTATGACAAATACGTATTCAAATATTTGCAAATGTTAATAGCATTCGAAAGCGGAATAATACCGCTTTTAAAACAAATACAAAGACGTTATAACCCGGCAAGGTCGACCATTAGATAGTCTACACCGATTCGCCTAGTGCGAGTGTTCACTCGTTTTGGTGATGAGACACCAAAAATTACACTACTTTGATGCAAACGGCGCACATTGGAGGGTGCTCGAAACATCACCTGACGCGATCCACTGAACTTACCTTCTAAAGATTTCATTATTTTTCAGTGTCCATCGTAAAACCATGGAAATTAGATTTTCTCTCCTTGTAAGGACTTGCTTTCATGACATGTATCTATATACGTTAGGATTTAAAAAGTAGACCTGTCTGATTCCAATTCCTCGCTGTTAATTTTTTCATTAAATTGGTAACTTTCATCATATAGATTATACAAAATTAAATCATTTCTTGAAAGGCTTACTACTCATTAGAAATCTTATACGGAGTTGGGTCCGTGAAATAGACTCAAGTGGTGCAAATTTAGTCCACTAAGCTTTTTCATCGAATTACTATTATAAATAAATTTTCGTCATAAAACATTAGCAATTGGGTCTCACAATAATAGACTTACCTGGTCCGAATTCGGTAAAGCTCAATTCATTATTATGAGCTAATTTTCAGAATGAAATATTGAAAATTAAGTCGTTTTGCAATGTAAAGATTCGGTTTTCATAGAAACGATTATACCAGGGATTGTCCCAGCCGAAGCGAAATTTCGATGCCAACGTAGAATGTCCCAGTGCTATTATTCGGCGAGTTTTATCGAAAAATATTGAAAATTTGCAGTTTTTCTACATAACGACATTTCAAAATAAGTCGTTGTATGGCGAGTAATTGAAAAAATGGACCGATCCGAATCGCTTTCAATAGTGTTCGTCCTTGGGTCAAAGCATGTCAGTGTACCAAACTTCTTTAGAATATTTCAAAAATTGCGACCTGGACAGAAGGACGGATGGACAGACAATCAAAGGAGAATCTATCTTAAGCCATTTTGGATGTTACCTACGTCTGCACACACTTAATATACCCTATATCACAAGTGGTGTATGCCGACTTCGATCATGTTAACGATGAACGTGGGAAGATTTTAGCTAAGGATATCTTTAACATGTCTTCTCTGAAATTATATGTCAGGCACTTGCAACTCTTTCCTTATATGCCCGCAGTGCTCCGCAAACTAGTTGCTCCACAGCTCTACAATTGGTGATTTCTAAAATATTCTAAAATGGGTACAAACATTACAGCCCACCTTTAAATACCTGATTACGCTTCGCTTAATATACTTATTGACATAAATCCTTTTAAAGATAAGGCATTATATGGGAAGGAGTGTCGATCCGAACCATTTTCAGTAACATTCGACCTTGAGCTAAAGTAGTCATTAAAATATTTCAAATCTTAAGATTTGTAGGCTGAACACAAACAGTGGACGCACAGACATTAGATAGGCAGACGGACATACAACCTTAGAATCACTTTCTGAAACGATCGGAATAATAAGAGGCAGATTTATATGAAGTCCTTGTGAATGATGCACACATCCGCACAGATTTATTGCCGATAGGGGAGGAACATTATCTTATCTTTCGCGATCGTTTCTGTCTTCTTTGTTGTACATTGATGTCCTTTGACTACTGCATAGCGGATAACATGAATTTAATTTAGCTTCAAAATATTGCATATTGAATGAATACTACGTGTTATAGAATATTCGCCGCCGGATAGTGGAATAAAACTGCTTTCTATTAATTACTTAACGCAAGCACAAAGCGCAAAATATCATATCGAATGAAAATGAAGGAAGAACGATAGCATGTTAGAATAATGTTCAAGAGGAATTTTTTGTCATTTCTTATTGGTCTCTTTAGTTTGATCAACATTGAGTCGGCCATAATGTCTGTGAAAGCAAGTAAGTTTATTATATTAAGCATGCGAAACGATGAATAACGTTTTACTCATTGCCATTATTTCGCTACGTTGCGCTACGTAGATATTTTAAATACTATTTTAGGAGTACCGTCAGAGTGTCTCCATCAGGGTAATGTGTGGCCCTGTAAGCTTTCATTTTCTTGCTGGCTGCAAGGTGGAAAGCATACGCATGGTTGCGGTAGCAATAAATGGTTATTCTCTTGTTGCGTGATTGCCAATGGTAATATATCACCAGCGATTGACTTGAATGAAAATACTTTCGGCGTGTACGGGAAGAAAGGAATCACTTTACCCAAACGAGTTCTTTTACGCAGGCGAGAGAACAATGAAATATTTTCAAAGGTACGATACGTTTTACTTATTTTTTCTCCACAATGTAATCTAAAGCACAACAACAACAATTTCTATGTTAATAGCCTGAATGTGGTTTAGCACGAACGTTTCAAAATACCTTAAGGAAGCGTATCATTGGCGGAAGGCCGGCACAATTTGCTGAATATCCATGGCAAGCTCACATACGTATTGGCGAATATCAGTGCGGGGGTGTGCTTATCTCTAGTAATATGGTGGCGACTGCGGCGCATTGTATTCAACAAGCAAGACTTCAAGACATTTCAGTTTATTTAGGGGAATTGGATACGCAGAATTTGGGCCATGCTGAAGAACCACTACCACCGGAAAAATACAATGTCATACAAAAGCTAATACATCCGCGTTTCGAATTTCGTATGACGCAACCGGATCGTTATGATTTGGCTTTACTAAAATTGGCCAAGCCTACTGGGTTTAGGTATTTATACAATTTGTACTAAATATGGCATTTTAATGAGATTCATCTTTTTTCTTCTTTTTTCGTAACTATAGCGAACACATTTTGCCAATATGTCTACCTCAACATCACATACGATTAGTGGGGCGAAAGGCTATAGTTGCCGGATGGGGTAAAACCGAGGCTAGTTTGGGTCAAGCGGGCACTAATATGTTGCAAGTTGCGAGCGTCCCCATTATAAGTAATTGTGAAATTGTTCCCGTTTTAAGTTTGTCATCAATTAATTGCTTAAGTAATATTTTTAATAGCATCCTTAGAATGCTTGCGCTGGCATGAAATCAAAAATATTGAAGTGGAACTTTATGGTGAAATGTTTTGCGCCGGACACTCAGATGGTCATCAAGATGCTTGTTTAGGTAAGAAAGGGCTATATGCTGCCAAAGTCTAACCTTAAAGCAAATATATATATACATAATTATTTCAGGCGATTCCGGTGGACCTCTTATTATTAAGGAACGAGGTAAGTATTTTATAAACACCCAGACATTATCGATCAAATAAAAAGCTCTCCATCCATATCGTTATCGTTTCGTTTAGGTCGTTACACTTTGGTGGGAATAACCAGTGCTGGATTCGGTTGCGGAGTTGATTATCAACCGGGCATTTATCACAACGTTCAGAAAACGTCAAAATGGATTCAAGAAATTCTAACAAGACATGCAGTCCAATCTTAATACAAATATTTTGAAATGTGTCAAAGTGTATTTACTTCCATACTCTGCCTAGGCTTCATTATTGTAAACTAAACTCAAAAATAATGCTAAGCATCATATAAGGTAACGAATACCTTATGTTATTTTTGTGTATATAAATTAAAAATCTTTTCTTTATTTTTTTGAGCATAGTTTTAATGATCCTCGTACATAAAAAAGTTTTCTTTGCCCTTACGTTGTAACGCATAACATGTACGCGACAAGCCATATTGAAGTCAAAAAAAAAAAAAAAAAAAAAAAAAAAAAAAAAAAAAAAAAAAAAAAAAACAACTAAGGCGCATAGCACGATGATCTTACGCAAATACATGTCCGTCAGTTATTTAATGTAAAAACTTTCGATTTTGATTAATTTTGCCGGAGTGGTCAGACGGCAAGTTTAACCACAACATTTTCGAGTACACACGAAACGAAATCACACAGATGACTGTTGTTATTCGGCAGACAGTTTCAGGTAAACGCACAACAACTCCAACTGAGCGGAGCGTAGTTATAACCGCGCTAATGACACGACAGATTGCGTATGTTATTTAATATTAACCCAAAATAATTTATTTCATTGCGATTGCGCGAAGCTTTACTGAACTGAAACAACAACAACAACAATAATAATAATAATAATAATAATAATAATAACAATAATAACTTTTAGCCTAATGCCGTAATGTTGTGAGAGCAGATTGAGTGTTAGTTTGTCATTCCGCGATGAAACGCTATCGTTATTGTGAAAATATTTTAAATTATAACAAATATTATGGAAATCTACACCAATTTTTAACTTAGACAAGCAAAATAGTTAAGAAGCGTGCATATATGGACAGAAAAAAAAAAACTTATATATATATATCCATATATATATCTATATATATATATATATATATATACATATACATGTACATCTTAAGCATTTAGTGTAAAATAGTTTAAGAATACGTAACAGGAAATTTAATAATAAAAGAAAATAAAAAAAAAAATTAAAAAAAAAATAAATATAAAATAATAAAAGGTAAAAGTGTAAAAATGGTTTAAAAAACTCTTTATTATATATGTGCGCGTACAATCGTGAATAAATCAAAGAAATTGTGGTCAAAGAGATTCATGCTACGTTCAAACAAACGATATTTTATAAAATTACTCTTCCTGTCATCATGAACATCTCTAGTCTGAACGGCTTTAACATAGTAATAATAAATGATAAATGGCTTTACTGTCATTTGCTAATCCTATTAGTATTTAATGGAATAACAAATGGTGTAGTTTATCATAACTCGATCTATAATGAGGCCATCACTCCTGCTTTAAGACAAAGCATTCAAAGAGATTTACCCAAAGAAGCAAAGTTTTTCGATGATTTTGATCGTAAGTAAGACCATGCTAACAGAGAATTATATCTCTCTAGTGTTAGACGGTTCATAATATAGTTATAGCCAATCGCCAAACTTTCAATGCACTATCACTGTGCGGAAGTAAAAAGTAAAAAAAAAAAAAATAAAAAAAAAGTATATTTTAACGAGTCTTCCATACACTCGCTACTTGCATTAACTTTTCCATAAGAAATCGAGTGCGTGAGGTTTGTTGTTGCATCAAGCCTGTACAGGTAACCTTAAGAAATATTCCGTAAAATGAGTACCGATATCAGTTGTGCATCGCAAGTTTATAAAGCACGTGCCTAGCACAACAATAACTGAGACTACTCGTTCTACTCGAGTATTTCACGTGTTATGGGATTAATTTGCTCGATCTCGAAACATACGAAACTCTCTTGTTAAAACTTTGAAAGAAAAAGTGAACACAAACATTTCCCATCTTACTAAGCTCTGCCGAGTTGTCTGCGATGCATTTCGTTGATACAACTAGGTACGCAAACATGAAACCGGAATTTTTGTATCGCAAATTCACATTTACTGCGGGAAAAAAAATCTTATTCGAAGTATTGCCCATCGCTAGCTATACCTACTCCCCTCCTTCTAAGAATTCGTTGATGGTAAATCCATAAAAATGTAGCGCTTTTCTCGCCAACAGTTCTTTCACCTTTCGAGCAGTTTGTTCACCTTTCCATATGAATCAAAGCGTTACTCGATGCTTGTGAATAAGTCCAGTTGAATGTTTTCGAGGTGCTGGGAACGGATAAATACATGGATGGATGACATGTAGAAAAGTGTCCTTTTCCTGATGATCTGACCATTTTTTGAACAGTTAAAATCGGTTAATTGTTGTTAGTAGCGTTTCGTATTAACTTTACTTTAATGGCATTTAACAGACCACGTCATTCTTCCACTGCTAGTCTTACTAAATACCGATTATCGTCTTCTTGCTGTCCGGTCTAGCGATAGATAGATGTGAACGATGCATCTCAATCTATTCGGTGAACTTTTGCTCCTGGGATTCTCAAAATAGGTTCACTTTTCATCGTGAATAACAGTGTGTGATCCAAAGACGACTTCTTTTGCATGATTCGAGGAAAGGCGATATGATCAGTGTTACAGTGCCATGAAATCTATGTTGTTGTGAATTTAAAGCTTTTAGTTTATGAACATCATAGTTTTATATATTTCGGTCACCTTAAGCATAAAAAATAATTCACAATTGTCCTACATCTTCATTCGCTTTCTTTAAGATTGTATCAGAGATAAGTTAAATTTTTATTTTTTGTTAAACCGTAAACTTAACAGCTTTGTTGTTTAGTTTGTCATCTGTATAGAGAACAGCAAAAATGGAAAACTCAAATGTGCTTCATAAACATGTAAAGCAATAAAGCACAGAAGCGTAAAAAGCGAAGCGATTATCACGCTTTTACTCTCGAGCAATATGCTGATGAGATTTATCGATAAGGTGCGATTCTTGGAAACAAAATAACTTTGCGCTTCCATACTGTGTTCGCAAAATATTTCATTAAAGACTTTAGACCAAGTTCACATACGATTTTATCATTGAGAACCTAGGTTCTCTACCTCGAAACTCTTATTCTCTGGCATGGTTTGTACGCTGCCTGTCGCCTTCTTCTCTATCAAACGAAAAAAAAAAAAAAGAAAAAATCAAGCTGGCTTTTGTAATACTCCTTCCCGCCCTCCTTAAATAATTGAAGAAAGTCGCTTTCAAATAAACACAGTTAGACCGTTTCTAAAATAAGAAGGCTATATATACGATTATTTTCATTGAGGGTGTCGTTTACAATCTCTCACTTCCGACCACTGGAAAATGTAATATGGAACGAATACTTTTGAAGTCATATCCATGAGACATACAATCTTGCAATATGTCACATCGACACATTCGGCAGTATAAAGTCAAGTGAAGTACGGGCAAAAGAATGGGGGAATAGAAGGCGTTATATTCAGCACTTGTTTTTAACATCTCTCACCAACACTCGGATTTAAAGCATGCTTATCTTGATTAAAAAGAGTTTCAATCGGGTTTCTTCGTTAGGACTTCAATCGTTTTGTTTATCGTTGGTATTCCAAAAGTTCGCAGTCTACGCTTCATAGACGTAGAGGAATCATACAAATCATCTACTTCTTCGGTAGTTGATATAATTGCCAAGAAGCTCAGTGACTTTTGTACACTGATGGTTGTCACCCCATTTTCTGTCTACTCTTGGACGTGGGGTAATTCTGAAACGCCTAAAAAGAAAGATTCAATGCTTTAGATCAAGTCTGGCAAATAAAATAATTATAAAGGACTAGGCACGACCATTACATACCCTAGACAACCCAAAAGTTATTCACACAACGAACTTTTAAATAAAGCATTCTATGCGAAGTGATCAAAGAAGCGGTCCGATCCGAGCCATTTTCAATAGGCTTGATCCTTGGATAAAAGCAGATGTTAAAATATCTCAAAACTTAAGATTTGTATGTTAAAAATAAAAAGTGTACGGACAGACATCAGGTGAACAGTCGGACATACCAGCTTAGATTGGTTCAGAAAGTGATTCTGAATAAGAAATAATACAATAACAACAAAAAGTGTTAACATACCTTAAAATACCCTTGTATCACAAATTGTGTGGGGTATAAAAATTAGAGGTTATATCGAAACGAATTGAAAAGATGAAAAAATTCAATTTCAATTTAGAGAGGGATATTTGATCGATACATGATCGGAACGTAACTCCTAATACAGGGTTTCGTTCGAAAAAACCGAACAACCTTTAAGCCGTAAATGTATTTAGCCCTGCTAAGGTAAGTGAAATCGTACAAAAAAAATGCACAAAATTGAATTGACTTAAGAAATGAGCGAAGGGAATGCGAAAGGGCCTTGTTGCTGCTAAAATCGGAAACAAAATGACCTAAATATATCGAAGGTTAGGTGAATTTCGTACATTAGTGATAAGTGGTAGGCTTCTAAAATTCGTGGTGAGGTGAGTATAATTTTCTCACTTGTTTTTTTTGTTTGTTGCTCCTTCTCTCTCTCCCTCCCTCTCTCTCTTCCTTTCACCTCTCTTTCTCTTTCTCTCTCTCTCTCATTTATTCTCCCTGCCTCTCTTCATCTCACTGCATGCATTTATCAAAACATATAACGCGCCCTCTCAAACAGAACTAAGCGCAATACGATTAGGAAAACTTGATTTTCCTCTTTAATCACTTCAAGTTCAATGGCATGAAATTAAGAGGTAAAAAAACTTGCAGATCTTACACATTTACACAATAATTATTTTTATTATTTTATGTACGAACATATATATGTGCACATAGATGCATGCATGCATGCATGCATGCTTGTACGTATAAATGTATACATAAATATGTATACTACGAGTTGATCGTGTAAGTCAAGGAAAACAACTTTTCCAGAAGCCACGTAACAATTTGCACTCACAAACGTTTCGTTTCGTGCGATGTGTTGCACATAGGCAAACACACATATCTGCCTGCATCTATGTGCATTCAATGTACATTATTTCCGTTTCGAGTTACACACATCCTTTTATTCGATCAAAACAAAAAGAAATGAGCAGATAAGCAGCAAAGCAAAATTGAACGGTTTGTTTTTTTTTATAAAATTTAAAGCACGCATTGTGCTTAACCAATATCAGTGGTACGTAAGTCGTTCGCTTAAGTAAAAAGTGAAAAGTGAACTTTTGAAACTGATTGCATATAAACATGAAGAAAGAAATGTCTGCTCGCACAGTTTTATGTTTCTCTCTCTCTCTCTCTCTCTCTCTCACTCACTCTCTCTCTCTCACTCACTCTCCCTCTCACTCTCTCTTTGCCACTCATTCTCTGTCCTTTATGTAGAGCTTCTTCTCTCTACGAATCTCAAAATTTGTTTATTTTCTCTTCATTTCTTTTTCTTTCACTTTAAGTTCAAATGCGTTTTCATCTTCTAAGTTTTCGTTTTTGTGCGTCTTTAATCGCAACACCACGTCTTCCTCTCAACGCGACGAGTGAAGCTTGCAACCATTGTGTTTGTATTACAAGCTGTCAGTTTCGATTTAGTTTTAAAAACGTGCGGTTAGAAGTACACGCTCGATAAAAGAGGTCTCTTGTTTACCGTTGTGCGATTTTTAAAAAATTTTCATTTTCCTCTTTTTTTTTAAATTTTTTCTTTTTCTTTTACTTTTTACTGGTTTTCACTTTCCTATTTTATTACTCTCTATATATAAAAAGCATTTGCTTCATTAACCGACTCCATGAAAGTTTATATGCCTTACAATGTTAAATTTTTGTTTTTGTTTTTGTTTTTTTTTTTGTGAAATTAAAAAGTGAAATATAAATTAAATTGTAACTTATTTCGACAACAAGTTTAAATGGAAAAAAACCGTTTTTTTTTATATACATTCATGTACATATATAAACATAAACATATATACGTTACTGTTATTACATTTTCTATTAAGTATCACGAAGGAGGACAACAAATGTATGCCTTTAACGAACACGAACACGAACACGAACACTCAAAATCCTTTCGCAACGTTATCATCTTATAAGATATGCGCATCTTGAAGACAAGGCATTTAATATGCAAAAAAAAGGATATGTACATCGGATGGTCGTTAAATATACTCTGCGTTCTAATACAATCAAGCTATTCACGTATTCTAAGAGAGCCAACGGCGCAGCAGGAGCATGATCTTGTCATTTTGGATGCACTTTCACGCCGTATTGGCGGCTTAGGATATTATGGAGAGAATTCAGTTATGGATATTCTTGCTCAAAGTATTAATTAAAGTATTACTTCGTTAAATATATTTATATTCAGCTAACCATAACCGAACCATAAGCTGTCTATTAACGCTTGTCGATTATTTAGTTGGTAAAGGGAAAGCAGATTTTGATTGCACGAATTTCCTGCTTTCTCCTATTTCAGGGAATACTGCGGCATATTCAGGCCGATTCGTGAAGAAATTCGTTCCAAACATTAGGCTTACACTTCAATAAACAGCATGTGAATTAGCTTTATTCCATTTGAGACAAATCTTGGATAATCAGTAACATTTCTCAGGCACTCACTATCTCTCTCTCTCTCTCTCTCTCTCTCTCTCTCTTTTCATTATGTCCGATCGCCCCGCTGAATGATTCATCATACAAAATAAAAGAAAGAAAAGACTATAACATATCTCTTCTTCTTCTTCTTGCCTTATTATGACCCTTCTGAGAAAATTTTATAAAGCCACGTAAAGCATTTGCTGCATTGTAGAGTAAGGGTAGGCCAATAATGGTAGCCTTCTTAAAAAATCCACCAGATTCCTATCCAAATTTTTGCAACCCTAACCCTGCGAGTTCCAATAACACAGCCATGGACGAGGAATCAAGTTTTGCTGAAGTAATTCAAAATATTACATTGATTTTGTCCGCATTTTTCAATTTTTTAGCTTTTAAGTTATAACAAAGATACTTGAGGGGTTGCCGTCTTGAAAATTCAGTTGAACGAATAAAGTAAGAATATATCCAATCCTTCAATCGCGTTCCAATAAAAGACGTCCAGATGGCTGTTGATAGTCTCAATGGCAATCTAAGTCCGGTTGCGTTGTCAAAAATTTCTCTTCCTTCACTCTTAAGCTATAATGATTTTGTCTATAGGAGTGATATGCAGATTTGCAGACGTGGTCGGTCTTTCCGCTTTCCGCTTTCATCTTTTATTAGCTTACTTACCACAAGATTGAAAAGCAAATCAATAGCCAAACGCTTGCTAAATCTTCTCGTGGCCTTATGTCAAACTTTAATTCTGATATAATAAATCTATGCATATCTATAGGTCGTCAGATGATTTCTGCTAGTCATCCTTTTGTATATGTTGGATTTTAATTTTTTTCCTTTCTCTTTCAGTGATACCACAGACCTGCAGATATCGTGGTAAAAAATTCGAATGTGGTCTTTCGATATCTTGCGTTTTAAGCGGTGGTAAGCCAGTGGACTTATGCTCAGGCGGCATGATATGGTCATGTTGTGTAGATAAGGAATTCAATGAAGAGATCAACACGAACGCCGGACAAGTCAACAATACCAGTAAGCATTTAATTAACAAACACTTATACATGTGTATGAATGAATGCAATTAACAAATTCATAATATTAGGCAATGAATTACAAGCGTAACAAGAGCATTTCGAAAAATTACTTTAATGGTTAACTTAACACATACGTTCACGAAAATCGCAAGTGTTGTTGATTCAGTTAATTTATGAATTAAGACAAACTAGAAAACATCTAAAAACTCCGTTACAAATCGTTCTACATATAAGTTATATGCTAAAAAAAAAAAAAAAAGTGAATAAATAAATAAAAATAAAAGTCAAAATACGTAAAGCAATTGTATTCGGCTGTGGCCGAATTTTTTATGTAACCACCATCTTTATCTTTAAAAAATAGACCCAAAAAACGTGAACGTTTTTATTTTAAGTGCCACGCCGTTCAGGAAATGGCCTTATACCCATAAGTATGACTATACGTGGAAAGGTTTATGTAAATATCAGAGGCGGGAAAGGAAAGGAAGGTAGTGTTTGCGAATATTGGGTTTAAATTTAAAGAAATTGAAAGTGAGATGAAAGAGCTCGGTGTAGGTGAATTATTTCAAGGATCACAAACGAACAATCTAGGCGACAACAGACGACATGGACGTAGGCAATTTCTCTCGAGGGTTATCATTAGCACTTTGACTCCCACTCTATCCTATTTGTGTGGCGAGACACCCTACAGCAGAGAATAATCCTTATAATTTTGGTGTTGTAATCGAAATTTGGGAATTTGCGGAAGCCATTGACCCCAGTTTTCCTCTACGGACAAATAATGCTTTTCAACAATTTGAAATTTCGTAAGCGTCTAGAAAAAACTTATCAACCATTTGGCGTATTTTCAACATCAACCTGTACGCAACGATTTCCAATATGCTTGCAAAATTTAGAAGACGTTTGTTGCACTTTTGTGACCAGAAGAACATTCACCATAGACGTTGCATAGCCACACAATGGGACAGACGGACATGTTTAAGAAAATAAAGAATTCGAAATTTATTTATTTATTTATTTATTTTCTTTTAATTTTTCTATACATATTGTTGCTTTAGTATTAGTTTTTGTTCAAAGTTAAAAACGTAAACATCATTATTATATGTGCATTCCACAGGTGATATCGTACATTTATATGACATATATCAGGATTTAAAGTATCACCAAAAACATCAAGCCAATGTAGTTACAAGCGGTTCTTCCTCCTCAGCTTATATAACGTCACAAGTTAAACCTTTACATCACACAAACTCTTTCGGCGCGCCGACAGTTGCACATGCTGATTACAGCCATCAGAATCAAGTATCCAGCTCCACAATTGGAAACTTTTACACCACAAAACGGCCGCTGTATCATAATTACTTTTATGGTCAAAAACCTTATATGAATCGACCCGGATCACAAGTTCTCGATTTTAATGATTTTAATGGGCAGGAGAGTGCAACGGGCATTGCGAATCAGATAGATCTTGTATTCGATGCATTACCCCAATCGCATAAAAAGAAACCCGTAGGTGTAGGCAGCAGTACGTACGTTTTCTCTGAAAATGAACATAATTTTGCTTCAGGTCATATTACGGGATCAGACGCTGTCGAAACCGCTGACAAGTATAATCATATTGAGAGCTCAATATCAACGTATCAAAGTGACGCATTTCAACCTGTACCTGGTATAAAATACGCTACAAATTCTTCTTATAGTGATAGCTTTCTCTCTTCTTCTTAAACCTTTTTTGTTTTTCGTTTTTCTATAATTTCATTCTCTTCTTCTCAGTGGTGTCAGTGGTTTCACTTTCATTTTACTTATATTTATATTTATTTGTTTCGTTTAATTTTGGCACTGATAGCGGGAGTAGTTCATTTAATTTTCTCTAGATTTTTTATATTTATTAAATTATTATTTAATAATTTTCTCCTTTAATATATATTTATATTATCTGTTATTACAGATTGTGGAGAAGTTTATAGTCGTTCTAATCGGATAGTAGGCGGCCATTCAACTGGCTTCGGTTCGCATCCTTGGCAGGTAGCTTTAATTAAAAGTGGTTTCCTATCGCGTAAGCTTAGTTGCGGCGGAGCTCTTATCTCCAGCCGTTGGATAGTTACAGCCGCTCACTGCGTTGCCACGTAAGCAATTTTCATAAAAAAAAAAAAAAATATATATAAAAAAAAATATTTACGATAATCTCTTCTAGAACACCGAATTCAAATATGAGAATTCGTTTAGGAGAATGGGACGTTCGGGGACAAGAAGAACGTCTCCATCACGAAGAGTACGGTGTTGAACGGAAGGAAGTTCATCCTAATTATAATCCCGCTGATTTTAAAAACGATTTAGCCTTAATTCGTTTAGATCGCAGCGTAGTTTTCAGACAGCATATAATACCTGTATGCTTACCACCTCCGTCGACTAAATTAGTGGGTAAGATGGCAACCGTTGCCGGTTGGGGTAGAACCAGACATGGCCAGAGTACAGTACCGTCAGTTTTGCAGGTATTTAGTTTTTTACTTTTAATTACTAAGCTTCTATCTTATTATTTCGATAATCAATAATTGACAGGAAGTCGATGTAGAAGTTTTATCTAACGATCGTTGCCAGCGTTGGTTCCGGGCAGCTGGGAGGCGAGAAAGCATTAATGAAGTATTTTTATGCGCCGGTTATAAGGAGGGTGGTCGCGATTCGTGCCAAGGAGACTCTGGCGGCCCGCTCACTCTTACTCTTGATGGTCGAAAAACACTTATAGGTTTAGTATCATGGGGCATCGGTTGTGGTCGCGAACACCTACCCGGTGTTTATACAAATATACAAAGATTTGTTCCCTGGATTCAAAAAGTTATGGCCAACGAAAAAGCATCGTAGCATTATTGAACTTGAAATTTTCCTCAAGATATGTGATGTTTACTATCACAACGAGTCCGCCGAAAAATTCTATCACCTATGAACCATATATTCGATCTTGGATATTCTAAAAATTATTACGAAGCATGTGCTGGAGGAAAGAGGAAAGCTTATAATATCAACCGATAATTCCTTTGAAAAATTCATATCTTAGTTATTTTTTAATTTATTTTGTATATTTTAATTTAAAATTTTATTGTTATTGCTTATATATTGTTTAAGTAAAGATTTTCATATATGTATATCTGAAGACAAGCAAGTGTCTCAATTCGCTATACGATGAAATGTGATGAATGCTAAGCGAAATAATTGACCGCGTCCTTCTCCCACAACCAAAAGTCATAAAGCGGTCATCACTTGACTTTATTCATAAAAGGAAGCAATGGCCAGCATCTAAGGTGTACTAAAGAAAAAGTTCTCTAAAACTAAGAATCTATTGTAACTCTCTCTCTCTCTCTCTCTCTCCTTTATTTATTTTATTTACTAAAATACTTATTTATTGCGTCCCATGTATCTATATCTGAAATCGAACTAGAGAAAATCTACTTAATTAGGTGATGTTATTATCTGTTATAAATCTATCATTCAATGTAGAAAGGCTTTCAATACGAGGTCCCTTTTTTCGCACGATAGAACCATTGCTGCATTGTTAGCGTAGCCAGCCAGGTTAATCCTCAGAACGGTAGATCATATTTGACTTATGATTAATGTGTGGTCGTAGCTATACGCATGTACGGATTGATCGCGATTCGCATCAAAATGCGAAAGCGGCATTTTAATCCTTAGCACAGGTTATGTCCATAAGTACAGTCGAATTTTGCCGCGAGACTCAGAGATCACTAGACCAACACACGAAAATTCGCTGAGATGTGTACAAAGGACCCAACGTGAAGAAAGAGTTCTTTATTTGAACCTTAATAAAATTGGGGTTAGATTTGTTATATAATATTATTATTTGTTTATTTTAATATTTATTTGATTAAAGTCGTGTTATACGTCCGTCACGTTTTGTAGAAAGTAATGCAGCGCATGCGTATAAAGTATCTTACTGTTACGAAATTCTTTTCTGGATACGGTTCGTATCACTAGATCGTTGTTGTTCTTTTTAACACAAATACACTTGCATATTTTCACTTCAAGATTCTTTTAGTTGCCCCAATTTCCTCAAGAGTAGGATTATTTACAATCTATTTTGGCAATACTTTCGACTTCTCAATTCAAATATTCTTTTACGACTGACTCTGCTTTCCGCAAAAATTCTCTTTAAAAATATGTCGTAAATGCTTCCACTGATGCTAACAAAACAACTTAGTCTTTCGCCCTAAATAGCATAATGTCGTATATTGCCTTCCATCTCGATTCCTCGCGATGGAAATCTCCTTGTTCTCGTTGATAATGTGCATGCGACAGAGAACATTTTAACGTTCAAATCACTCGCTAATTTAAGCCCGATTTCCCGCTAAATTACATGATAAACTCAATTCAGTTAAGGACGGAAATTGTGGCCCATTTTTGAAACATGTACCAGAAGCGGAACTAGCACGCGAAATAAGTAATCAAGATGAAAACAAACGTTGACGGAGAAGCACGCTCGCCAACAGGGATTGTTGATGTTGCTTGGTACAAATGCACAGTGGACTTTGACATTCCAAATCCAAAGGGATGCAAAAGCTGCCGACGCCTGAATCATACTGTTGAATGATGCAATAATCAGCATCTTGTGCTAGCTGTGGTCTACCTACACATGCTG